TCCCGGGTAAATTGCTGGGGGAACCTGCAAGAACGCTCGCTCTGCTCGCTTGTAGAGGCAGACAGATGGACGGGGAAGAAATATAGGTGAGATTAGCGTCTGTCAGCTGCAGCTGAGCGCCGTGAGCTGTTGTTTCACTTGCAAAGCCCGGCTGCTCTTCTGGAAGCTCAGCTTTCTTTTCCCATCCTTGTCCCCCCGCAAAGGGAAGGTCCCGACTCCCCGTAGGAACCAGGAGTTGAATCAAAACCATCTCGGTGCATCGTGGGGTTGGTTTGGTTTTTTTTTCCTTTTTTTCGGTGACTGGTGAGGTTATCCGAGACCTGGCGCTGGGGATGGACAGTGGTTTAGCGAAGCGGTGGTTCTTTGCTGGGGGTGACGGTGGTCAGAGCGGGTGTGTGGGTCCAGCACGGGTCTGTCCCTGTGCTCCCGTGCTGGTGGCTGTTCCCCCCCCCCCCCCCCCCCCCCCCCAGCCTGGGGGAGCCCCTCCAGAGCTCCTTACAGCAGATGCGAGATTAAGCCGGGGGCCGCTCTCTCCCTCCCCAGGCGCCCATAAAGAAGGGGAAGGAAGTTTTCCAGGGCCCTTTCCCCAGCCCTGCTCACCAGCCGATGCGAACATCAGGCTCCTTTCCAGATCTTATTGTTCTTTTTTTCTCTCCACCCCCCTCAAACTTCTGCACTAACCATAAATCAGGTTGTTCTCCCCAAGGACCATCTAATGCAGCTGATCCCACACATGAAGACCACCTCACAAAGCTCCTTCCCTCCCTCTCCTCCCAGCACGGGGGATGCAGGGAGGGTGATGGGGGGAGAGGATGCTCGTTGCCCCCCCTCCCCACCCCGGGTCCTGTTTGCCAGCTCCAGGCTCCTTTCCCGGGCGCTGCGAGCAGAAATCCTTTAACTCACGCTCGCAGCCCATCTCCGCTCCTCTTCTCCATCCCAGCCCCTTTCCCAGGGGAGGATGGGGATTAAGAGGAAGCAGATTAAACCTAATGGATTGATTGCAATTATTTTCCCTTGTTTATTTGCAGTACTGTGTGGGAGCCTGAAAAAAAAAAAAAAAAAGGGAAAGGGAACACTCTTTATGTGTGTGCAGTCCTGGTCCTCATTACGTTTCCCGCGAGCGAGCGACCCAGGCCAGCCAAAAATAAAACCAGTTACATTTGAGCATCCTATTTCAAGTTCTTATAAACTGCAACGTGTAAATACTTCTGCGCGCGAACCCACACGCAATCCGGCACGAAGCAGCTCCCCCACCAACCCCACCAGGTCCCGGCTGCCCTCGTCCCCGTGTCCCACGTTCGCTGGGGACGCGCACCCTCCGAGGAGCCATCGGAAACTCTCTGGGACAAGAGCCGACCTCTTGTTTGGGGGAAGTTTTACCTGTCGCCGTGCCTGGGAGGTTTTTTTCCCCCCCTGAATTTCACTGCCTAAGGGCTACGTGAGTATTTAGCATCAGAAATGCACCCCGTATCCCATTGCCCACCTGCACCTGAGCCCTCCAAGCCCCTCCTGGACTCGTTGCAAAGACTTATCCCACCTCAATAAATCTCCCCAGGTCTGGGGGGTTGTGTAGGGTCTCAGGAGGCTGATCCCGCACCTCCAGGTGCCGAGGGCAGCGCTGCTAACGGCATCGGGGTGCAGAAAGAGGCGCCTTGAGCCCAAAAGCAGCAAATGCTTCCAAATAAGTGGATTTGAGCCTTTTAATGCTCTTTTACAGCAGCTGAATTAACTCGGAGGGGCAGGAGGAGGAAGCTACCTCCTTTTTGTGGGTTTTTTTCCCCAAATATCCAAGGTTTCTCCTGGAGCGTCCCGGCTGTGCTGTCCCGGGGAGAGGGCTGGGAGCGTTGGTGGGAGCTGGGGACGCTGCCCGGCACGGCGGTAAGCTGTTGTGCAACGCCGGATAAGTCGCGCGAAGCTCCCGACGCCGCGTTCCTGGCTGAGGACCGAGTCTCCTCCGTGCGCACGCGCGCTCCCAAGAAATCCTCCACCAG